TCAGGATGGCCTGGGTGGCTCAGTTGGTTAAGCGGCCGACTCTTGATTTTAGCTCAGGTCATGATCTCAGGGTTGTGGGATCAAGCCCTGCATGGGGCTCTGTGCTCAGCATGGAGTCTGGTTGAGAATCTCTCCTTTTCCCTCTGCCCCTCCACCACTCATGTGTGCTCTCTCTCTCTAAATAATAAAAACTTTATATAAAAATTATTCCATTTACCTCCTGTATTAGCTTATGGTAATAACTCTTGATTTATTAACATTAAATAAAAATTAGTATTTTTACCACCTTGTGAAAAATGCAGTGATCTTATAACATTTCCACTCATTTCCTTCCTACATATGCAATTTAATCCTATGTGTATTTTAAACTCCATAGTATATTATTTGTAAATATTTATTGGGGCACCTGGGTGGCTCAGTTGGTTAAGAGTGCCTTTGGTTCAGGTCACGATCCTGGGGTCCTGGGATCAAGCCCTTTGTTGGGCTCCCTGCTCAGTGGGGAGCCTACTTCTCCCTCTCCCCGCCCACTCCCACTTGTGCACTCTCTCAAATAAATAAAATCTTTAAAAAAATTTTATTTAGATTTCTCTACATATTTAACCTCTTCATTATATTCCATTTCTTCCTTCATCTATGTGGTCTCCCCTGGAATCATTTTCCTTGTGCTTGAAGAATACTCTTTAGTTTTTCCTTTATTGCAGATATGCTATATTATCTCAATTTATCTTTCTCTGAAAATGACTTTATTCTGATTTCATTCATTTTTTTTCAATAACCTTTATGAAAAATAAATGCTTTCATATTTAAGTATCTCTTTTGCTAGTATAGGCTTCTAGGTTGTCACATATTTTCTGTCAACACTTTGAAGGTATCATTCCAGTGGTTTGCCGTTTCCATTATTGCTGTTTTTAAGTCAGTTGTTAGATTTATTGTTGTTCCTTTGAAGGTTGTCTTTTTTCTGTGGTTGCTAGTAAGGTTTTTTTAATCTTTAGCTTTCTTTTCAGCAGTGTTCCTACATAACAAACAATTCCGTGGACAGATTGCCAAGATCACTGCAAAAACAACTCCCATCTCAGATGCTCTTCTAGGAATCTTGCAATTCCCTTATCAGGAGATAAGAGTCTATAGCCACTTTCCTTGCACCTGACGTCTTTGTGTTTACCCTCGAACAGTGGAGTCCAGTTGAAGTGATGCTATGTGACTTCCAGAGCTAGGTCATAAAAAATGCCATGTATTTCTGCCATCCTTTCTTGGGACATTCATTCTTGAAAGTCAGATACCATGCTATGAGAAAACTCAAGCAATCCCTGGACCTGCCCATTTACACAGGAATCACAGTTGCCTTTAGGACTAGGTGGCAGGTGGAAGCTGGAAGGGCTTCAAGGAGACTGTTAGTGAAAGCCTAAAGGACCCCATGGAGGCTATTATTGAGGGCCTAAAGGAAAGCAGTAAAAACTTACTGGAAGCTGAAGGCAACACTGACACTTGGCAGTCATGTGAAAAATGGAAAATATACCTAAATGAATTCAATAATCTGGCTGAGGGGATTTCCCAGCAGAGTACTGATAGTGCCATCTGGCTTCTGCTGCCTATGATAAAGTGCAAGAGAAAGAATTAAAAGAATGAACTGTTACATGTGAAGGAACCAGGACTTGCCAAGTTTGACAATAATACTATTTCTCTTTCCCAGCCTCCCCGTATGGTAAATTAGTCTTTAATTAAGACAGGACCTCAGACCAAAGTCAAATCCAGAGTGGGTCTATGGGGGATACTTTGTAAAGACCTCAGAAAGATTTGAGGTAGTGCTTCATAGAACATTTCAGACTGAGAGAAGGCCCTCTGAAGATTTTAAGGTGTCCCCAGCAGATCCTATCTATTAAATAATAGATTCTAAGAATCTTAAGGGTATTACCCTCCGCATACTCACAGGGAGCCCCAGCTAGAGAACTTCTTGCCTCAAATAGATTTATAGTGGTGTGTTTTATCTAATAAAGTGAACCTCACTAAGGTTTTTAGAAAACCCACATAGTTCTTAAGAGAATTGTTCTGGTAGCAGTACAAATTTGAACTAAAATAGAAAGAGTGCAGAGAAGAAAAGAACTTTGGACTCCTGATCTTTGTCGTCTAGGAAGCTGACGGAGGAGGTTTTGTTGTTACTCAGTTTTTTTTTTTTTTTATGGAAAATAAAGGTTTTAACTCCGAGGGCAGAACCAAGAGCTACAGAGAACAACTTACAGAGAGTGTATGGGCACCACAGAATTGGCAAAATGTTCTCAGCTGGATTTCAGAATTGCTAGGGGCCAGTGACTGTTGTGTGCCTCCCATATCCCCCATTTTTTTTTCTCCCCCATTTTTTTTTTTAAGATTTTATTATTTGACAGAGACACAGCAAGAGAGGGAACACAAGCAGTGGGAGAGGGAGAAGCAGGCTTCCCGCGGAGCAGAGAGCCCGATGTGTGGCTCAATCCCAGGACCCTGGGATCATGACCTGAGCTGAAGGCAGACACTTAATGACTGAGCCACCTGGGCACCCCCACTTCCCCCATTTTTGAACAAGAATGTAAGAGTTATCTTATACCTATCCCACCGTTGTATTCTGTGTGTGTGTGTGTAGTTGTTTCTTTAGTTCACAGGTTTTCACTTTGAAAATGATACTCAAGGAGCTATACCTAAGGAGCTATACCCGAGGAGCCTCATCTGTACCTAGATGTGATATAGATGATGCAATCTTAGACCTTGAGCCTGAGCATGACACTAGAATGGAATGAGATTTTTGAGGAGCCTTGAAAGAGGGACGGGTGTATTCTAACTATGGGAGGAATGTGAACCATTGTGGACAGAAGGCAGATTTTCAAAAAATGATTACAATGTTTCCCATCCTATATTCTTCTAGAACCTTGCCACTCTCCTTTTAAGAGGTGGACTCTATGTTCTCCTTTAACTTGGGTGGGGTTTTGGGACTGCCTTGACCACTAGAGTATGGCAAGAGTGATGCTATGTAGCTTCCAAGACTAGGTCAGAAGAATGCCATGCAATTTTGCCTTGCTCTTTTGGGATGCTCACTCTTGGATCCAAGCCCAAGTAGCCAGTGAAAAAACCCATGTGTAGAGATATTGGGAGACCCTCCTAACCCATAGGACTGTCTGAATTCCCAGATGATGGCCACTACCAACCTCCCTGCCATGTGAGTGAGAAAAATAAATGGTTACTATTTCCCCCCCCCTTTTTTTTTTCGAGAGTGTATGCAAGCACACTGGGGACAGGCAGAGGGAGAGGGAGACAGAATGTTAAGTAGTTTCCATGCTTGGTAGAGTCCGATATTGGGCTTGATCACACAACCCTGAGATCATGACTTGAGCCAAAATCAAGAATGAAACGCTCAAGTGACTGAGACACCCAGGCACCCCAAATGGTTACTGTTTTAAGCCACCATGTTTTTGAGGTAGTTGTTACATAGCAACAGCGAACTGAAACATACCCCAAAACATTGTCACATGAAATAATCATTTTGCTCACAAATACACAATTTGGACAGGGCTTGACAGGTACAATTCTTCTCTGCTTCAGATAATCAAAGCCTTTGTTGGCTTCAATTTTAAATGGCTTAGGAGTTAGAATCATGTGGAGGTTTTTCACTCACATATCTGGTACCTGGGTGGAAATAACTCGAAGGCTGGGCTTCACTGGGACAATCACAGGGAATGTCTACAGTTGGCCTCTCCATGTATTTTTGGCTTCCTAACATTGTCACAGGCTCAAAGTAGTCAAACTCCTAAAGGTGGCTCAGGGCTCCAAGAGCAAGTGTTCCCAGCAGAAAAGGTGGGATCTTCATAGCCTTTTATGATCTAGCCTCTGAAGTTACATAGTACCAGTTATGCTCCACACAACTGATTGAAACAGAAGCACATCCAGATTTGAGAGAAGAGTATAGATCTCCCACCTCTTGGTGGGAGAAATGTCAAAGGTTTATGGCTATGTTATAAAACTGCCACAAATGATTTTTCTGTGGTAAGTATGGCATTGTTTATACTTGTCTGAAGTTTAGAGTTGTTATGAACCGAATGTGTCACCTCAAAATTCGTTATTTTGAAATCCCAACCCACAATGTGGTGGCATTTGAAGCTGGGGCCTTGGGGATGTTATTAGGTTTAAATGAGGGCATGAGAGTGAGGCCCCCCATGATGGAATTAGTGCCCTAATAAAAAGAGGAAGAGAAACCAGAGCTCTCTTTCTTTGCCACAGGAGGACATGGGGAGAAAGCAGCCATCTGTAAGCCAGAAAAAGGCCATTACCAGGAACTAAATCTGCTGGAATCTTGATCTTGGACTTCCCAGCCTCCAGAAAAAAATAAATGTCTGTTGTTTCAGTCAACCAGTCTATGGTATTTTGTTATAGCAGCCCAAGCTAAGACATAGTGCTCCTTGAATATGTGGCTTGATGTCTTTGTCAGTTTTGAAACAATTCTCAACTATTATCTCTTCAGATACTCTTATGCAATGCTTTGCAGCCCTCAAAGAAAATGAGGAATGAGGCCTCTAAGAATGTCACACTATGATTTTCCAAAGTCTATTCTTAAAGCCAAGGAAGCAGGAAAATAAGTCATAGTCATTCATCCTTGAAACAGAGTTTAGACTTACCTATTCTAGAGATGCTCCCCATCTTTACCCCAACTCCTCCTCCCAAAGGATTCTTCTCTGATCTCCATGAGGAAAAGGTCAGCCTGGCTTCCTTATACCAACACCTCTCTGTAGGTTTGGCCAATGAAATTTCTACCCTGCTACCAGTATTTGAACCAGTAACAAACATTGGATGGCAATTCTCCCACAGTGATTAAAAAAAAAAAAAAAAGTGACCTAGTATTTGTTCAACTTTAAATTTCATCCATGGCTCAAAGTGTTAAGTAAAAAAAATCTAGAAGAAAATACAAATTTTAACAGAGGGGATGCTTTTTACTTTTTGTGTTGTATACCTCTAATTGAATCTTCTACAATAGGCATGTGTTACATTAGTAAAACTAATGAAAACATAATGTATTAAAAATGTTACCTAAAATACATCATTAATATCCATGACATGAATTTAACATTATCCAGGGGACAACTGATTCACATATGATTATTAAATACCAGAATCTGACCTCGAATTTCTCATGTCAGTAACAGACCAACACATTACAATTTAGGGGAAGCTATATTCTGGGTACCTCCAAGATGTTTGCAGAAAAAGGTTAGAATTTGTTTCCAAGCATCTTCCTGAGCCTTAGAATGAGCCCTGGGCTCCCCACCCCAGATTACAGGTTTGTTCACTAATGTCTGCACAGAAGCTGGGCATAGGGGGAAGTAAGGAGGCTCAATAAAATGCCCAGTCCCAGGATAAGAGATGATCTGGGGTTTTTCCTTTCCATGGGCCTGTAACCGTTTGGAGGCTATTTGGGCATATAACTCACTCCTCCAGTTATGGTCATCCTGACCAACAATGAAGAGGATGGGCCCCTGGGCCTTCTCTATTGGAATCATGCTGGGGTTCTCATGTCCTCCTACAATATCATTCCGAATATCCACAATGTCCAGGAGGCCTGAGAAAGCTACCTTGATTCTCCTAAAATCATGGCCCAATGATGGGATGCAAGTCTGCTTGTAGTATATGGCTCTGTTTCCACTGAACCCAGATCCATTGATGGAAACTGTGGCTGAGATGTTCTTCAAAAATGAGGCCATGGAAAGACAAATATCAGCCCCTAAAGAAATGCCCAGAAGCCCAATGCCTGGGCCCTTTACCTGGAAAAAAAGAAGAAAGAAGAGTCAAGAACGTATCTCATAGAAAAATGTTCTACAATGATGGCAATATTTTCCATCAACATCAATTCACCTAGTGAGTGTTGATACTTTGGGTCTGAGTTAAGCTGAGGGTAGAGGGAAGATGGGGGCTCGGAAGTAGCTGTGCCTTTAGAGGCTGGCAGAAAAAAAATAAAATGGGGCTCCTGGCTGGCTCAGTTGGTAGCACATATGACTCAATCTTAGGATTGTGAATTCGAGCCCTACACTGGGCAGAGATTACTTTAAAAAAAATAAAGGTATTACCTATTAAAACATTTTTTTGGGGGGCACGTGGGTGGCTCAGTCGGTTGAGTGTCTGCCTTCGGCTCAGGTCATGATCCCAGAGTCCTGGGATCGAGCCCCGCATCAGGCTCCCTGCTCCGTGGGAAGCCTGCTTCTCCCTCTCCCACTCCCCCTGCTTGTGTTCCCTCTCTCGCTGTGTCTCTCTCTGTCAAATAAACAAAATCTTAAAAATAAATAAATAAACAAAACACTTTTTTTTAACATAACTAGAAATGCTAACTTTGTGAGTTGGCCACAAGAGTATCAACCTCAGCTGACAGGAGTTTCTTCCCACATAAAAAATATCTGGGTGAACACATGGCAAATGAATTGTCAACTCACTGGCAAGTCTGGGTATTGATTACAAATGTTCCAGACTATCATCCACTAGAGAATGCTGAGTCACGGAGCCTGTCAAGTTCAGGTCCTCATTTAGGTGGACATGATCTAAGTCTCACTGTGCCAAGGTATCTAACTCTGTGGAACCAAGTTCTGTTCTAAGTGAATGACTCACCAGACCCCATCTATATATACTGGCAAATGATTAACTTTATAGAAACAAAGTAAGACTTCAGAGTCAAATTAAGTAGTTCTTAGCTTCTGAAATATGTGGGCAAGTTCTGATCAAAATCTAAGAACACACTGATATCAGAAAATTAAAGATTAAAAAATTAGAAAGAGTCTGCACAGAAAAGTAAACAATCAACAAAACTAAAAGACAACCTAAGGAATGGAAAAAGACATTTGCAAATCACATATCTGATAAAGGGTTAGTATCCAAAATTTAGAAAGAATTTATAAAACTCAACACCCAAGGCACCTGGGTGGTTCAGTGGGTTAAGTGTCCAACTCTTGATTTTGGCTCAGGTCATGATCTCAGGGTCCCGGGATCAAGCCCTGCATCAGGCTCCCTGCTCAGAGGGGAGTCTGCTTCTCCCTCTCCCTCTGCCCCTCCCCCTGCTCATATTCACTCTTGTGTGCACTTTCTCTCAAATTTTTAAAAAAATCTAAAAAAAAAATGTTCAACATTACTCATCATCAGGGAAATGCAAATCAAAACTACAAAGAGATACACTGGGCAGAGATTACTTTAAAAAAAATAAAGGTATTACCTATTAAAACACTTTTTTGGGGGGCACCTGGGTGGCTCAGTCCCAGGATAAGAGATGCCTCTTATCTGCCTGCAGTAGTACCGGAAACCACTGGCCTCATACCCATCAGAATGGCTAAAATCAACAACACAAGAAACAAGTGTTGGTGAGGATGTGGAGAAAAAGGAACACCCATGTACTGTCGGTGGGAATGCAACCTGGTGCAGCCACTGTGAAAAACAGTATAGAGGTTCCTCAAAAAGTTAAAAATAGAGCTACCCTACAATCCAGTAATCACACTACTGGGTATTTATCCCAAAATACAAAAACACTAATTCAAAGGGATACATGCCCCCCATGGGTATTGCAGCATTATTTACAATAGCCAAGATATGGAAGCAGCCTACGTGTGCATCAATAGATGAATGGATAAAGATGTGATGTATATATATATATATACACAATGGAATATTATTCAGCCATAAAAAAGAATGAAATCTTGCCATTTGCAACAAGATGGATAGAACTAGAGAGTATAAGGCTAAGTGAAATAAGTTAGTCAGAGAAAGACAAATACCATGATTTCACTCATATGTGGAATTTAAGAAACAAAACAAATAAAGAAAGGGAAAAAAAAAAAGAGAAATCAAGAAGCAGACTCTTAACTACAGAGAACAAACTGATGGTTACCAGAGGGGAGGTGGATAGGGGGATGGGTTAAATAGGTGATGGGGATTAAGGAATGCACTTGTGATGAGCTGTTGAATCCCTTTATTGTACACCTGAAATATAACACTGTATGTTAACTATACTGGAATTAAAATTAAAAACTTAAATAAAGAAAGCATATAGGGGCGCCTGGGTGGCTCCATCGGTTAAGCCTCTGCCTTCAGCTCTGGTAATGATCTCAGGGTCCTGGGATCAGGCTCCCTGCTCAGTGGGGAGTCTGCTTCTCCTTCTCCCTCTGACTCTTCCCTTTGCTCATGCTCTCTCTCTAATGAATAAATCAATCTTTTTTTAAAATATGTTAAAACTAAAAATTAGAAACTCATTTTGCATAACAAATGCAAATTCCTGAATAATACCTTTAAATAAAACTTCACATGGATTTTTACAATTAATCCTGTCTTACTAAGTCATCTGACAGAGAAAGTGTAAATAGGCACCTAAAGCTAAGGAAGTCTCCAAAAAAAATTTCTGTGAAAGAAGAGTTGAGCAGCAACAGGGCACCTGACACAGGTGAGTGCAAAGTGACACCCTCCCTGGATGTATTTCTAGAGAGAATGATACAATAAAGGACATTAGGAGAACCTTGGAGTGTTGAAGCATGTAGCACAGGGCTTCTTCAAAGTAGTCCAGGTGTATGCCATCAATTTCCTTGGGGAGATCTTCAAAGTTATAATAAGCTAGAGCCAACGTGGCAAAGCCATGACCAGCCAAAAGGCTGGCTCGATATTCCATGAGGCCCCCTCCAATTCCAAAGATGTCAATGATCCCCGGGAAAGGTCCAGGTCCTAAAGAAGAGAATATAAAGGAAAGGCATTATACAATTTAAAAAAATTGCTTTCCTTTTAGAGATCTCTTTAGTGGGTTCCTATGAATCAAAGAGAAAAAAACACAGCTCGCTGAGTTATTATGCAAAAGGAATACAAATACCTTGTAAGGAAAATCTACAAGGTACCTTCTCATTAATGAGTTTATCCTCCATATGATTCTATAAATTATCTACAAGGTTCTAAGAATCTTTAGTTATCAAGGGCTAACTTGAGTAACAAAGTCTTTCATTACTGACTACATCATGAAAGGAGGAATTTCATGTTTTAGACAGTGTTCATTCATAGTGTTCTGTTAGGGGATTGGACATAAAATTAAGAATCTTGAAATAAAGCTTTATGTTGTGTTGCATTGACCCTTGGCTTTGTGTGTGTGTCTCTTGATATTTCAGATGTCTATTTAGAGATAGGAAAGAAAAATATCCAGAGATGGCTTCAGGTGAGAAAACCAGTAGAATCTAAAGTGTGATCTGTGGTACAGAAGGGCATGAAGAAGTGGAGAAGAGACCCAGTGTACCCAGGGCGCTACAGAAGGGTGACATGGCAACAGCTTCCTTGATTGATAGGGCTGATGAGATCTATAAAGTAGTTATTAAAACAAAGTGGACCACATACCTACCCATCCTGACCCTTTTTATTTTAACCTGCCGAATAACAGTACTCACCTCATTGAGATATTATGGAGATTAAATGAGATAATACAAGCAAAACGCGTAACACAGAGCCCAACACATCAAAATACTCCATTTTGGTTGTTTGGCTACTGGCTTCGTCATTGTCATCTTCTCTGTCCTAACGGATGAGCTAAACTCTGCCTGCAGTAGTACCGGAAACCACTGGCCGCCACGGCACCCAGCCGCGCGCCCCCAGCAGCCCACACTCACCAGGGGGCAGGAAGAGCGTGGCGCGCACCCGGCCCGCGCGCACCGGCTCCCGCCGCACGCCCGGCCGCAGGAAGTCGCGCTCGTGCACCGCCCGGCCCAGGACGCGCCGGGCGTCCGGCTCGTGGCCGTCGAGCACCTCCAGCTCCACGGCGAAAGGCGTCTGCACGTCCCGCTTCACAAACCGCCAAAAAGGCTTATCCGGCTCCAGGGCCCAGAGCAGCCCCATGGGCTCGAGCCCCACGAAGCTGCCGCCCAGCGCGGGCGCGCGCGCTAGGTCCAGGAGGCCGCCGGCGTCGGCTTGGTACCGCGCGTGGGCCCGGAAGAGCGCGCCCTTCTCGTCGCGCAGGGACGCGCGCAGCGTGACGGGCTGTCGCGGGGCCAGGCCGCGCACGGCGATGCGCACGGGCTCGTCCCAGCTGCAGCGGCCTGCGGGCTGCAGGATAACCGTCACCATCCCGGCTGCACGCGGCTGCCCTCTGGACCTGGAGCAGGGAAGCCGCAGGTCGCGACCGGCCGAAGTCTGGCCCAGGCGGCGGAGTGCGCTTCGCAGGCCCGACGGGGTCAGGCGTCCCCTGGCGCAGGAACGGTGGGTGGCGGAGGCGCGTCAGGAGGCGTCTGGGCGCTGCAGACCCGTGGCCTGCGCACCCGGGACTCGCCTGAGTTAAAAGCAGCAGCAGGTTGTTCTCCCAGCCCGGGGGGTAGGGGGTGGGGGGCGCACGGAGCGTCCTGAAAACTGGGTGTGGTGCTGAACCCTCCTCCGAAACGCTTCTCCCCCTCCGGCCGTTCTCAGTTGTTGGAGTGAAAGTTGGGTAATCGATTCGTGTTGAGACCAGAACTGAATGAGTTTAGGCAGAATTCCAAGAATCCCAGGCCCTCCGTGGAAAAGGGTAACTTTTTTTTTTTTTAACTTTTAGTGAATTATAACGTACAAAAAGCGTGCAAACCCTAAGCGTACAGTCCAATGAATTTTTACAATCGGAACATAGCATACCTGTGTAACTAAGCACAGGAATCCAGAACCCTCATTACCAGCACTCCAGCAGCCATCCTCATTCCTGCTCCAGGCATTTCCCTTGTCCCCAAAGGTACTCTATCCTATTCCAACAAAATGAGTTATTTTATGGGAATGAATCCTTCGGTGCGTCGTTTTTAGTGTCTTTCTGCTTTCAACAGTGTTTATGAGATTCATGTCTATTGTTGGGTGTAGTTGTACATCTTTTATTATCACTTCTAAGAGGTTCCATTTTGTGATAGGACAAGTGTTTGTCAACTTTACTACCAATGGACAGTTGGTAGTTCTCAGATTGGGACTATTTGGTGCTATGAACATTCAAGAACCTATTTTTTGATGAACATACATGTGCATTTCAGTGGGGTATATACCTGAGAGTGGAATTGCTGTATGATAAGGAATGCATATGTTCAGCCTTAGTAGACACTAAAAGTCAACCTTTTGAATGGGACCCTAGAAGCAATATCGATATAATGTTCAGAGATGCCCAGTGTTTTATTTATACATACAACAGTAATAGCTACTCTTTATCAATATCCAAATGCTTTACATACAAAATTCAACATATTCACAAAACAATGGGAGTATTTTTAGAATATCGCTGAGGAGGATCTTGAGGCTTGGAGAATATTAAGCCACTGAAGTTATCTAATTAGAGCCTTGACTAACTCCAAATATGGAACTCAAAGGTAACAGCAGCATTGTGGTGAGGTGTAATCAGAGTCCTAGCTCTGACTTTATTAACTAGTTTTGTAGCCTTCCAACAAGTTTTTTATTTCTCTGGGTCTCAGAGTTCTTGTTTGTAACATAGTAAAAGTCTCTCATAGAGGATCAAACATATAGTGTATGTGAAGTCTTAAGAGTATGTGAAGCGAAGCGTAAGGTTTGATTTCATAATCGCCAGAGACTGGGCCCATGTGTTTCATTTCTCATGGTCTCCAGATAGTTGCCCTAGGTTTGCATATGGCTTTCTAAACTGCTCTTATAAGAAAAACCAAAATAAAGATATTCTTTTTTAGAGAAAAAAATACATATTTTTTGAAACAGATGTAAGCAGTTCTGAAAAGTTTAAAATGTGAAATGATAGAATCTCTTCTCTTTCCAGTTCCCCTTTTCCCTCAAAGGTGGTTGCATACATCTTGATTTTTTTCCTGTATGTTTGCAGTGTGTAAGCATATGGGAGTGTAAACATACTAATCCACTGTTCTGCAACTTGCAGACCTATGTTTTCATTTTTCTGTATATACAGGAATAGAATTGATGGGTCGTATGGCAAATCTATGTTAAACCTTTCGAGGAGCTGCCAGACCATTTTTCGAAGTCGCATTTGAAATCCCACAGCAGTGTATGAGAGTTGCAATTAATCCACATCCTTGCCAACACTCGTTATTATCTGTCTTTCTCATTATAGACATCCTAGTAATAGTCTCTTTGTAGTTTTGATTCGCATTTCCTTGGTGGCTAATGATGTTGAGCATCTTTTCTTGTGCTTATTGACCGTTGTATGTCTTTGGAGAAATGTCTATTTAGATCCTTGTCCTATTTTTTTAAGTTGGGCTGTCTTTTTATTATTGAGTCAAAAGAGTTATTTATATATTTACATATAAGTCCCTTATCAAATATGTGATTGACAAATATTTTCTCCCATTCTGTGAGTTGTCCTTTTATTATTTTTTTAATTTTTAATTTTTTTTTAAAGTAGGCTCCATACCCAATGTGGGGCTTGAGCTCACAACCCTGAGATTAAGAGTCCTATGCTCTACTGACTTGAGCCAGCCAGGTGCCCCTATATTTTTTAATGGTATCCTGTGATACATAGAAGTTTTTAGGCTTCTTTTTTTTTTTTTTTTAAGATTTTATTTATTTATTTGAGAGAGAGAATGAGAGACAGAGAGCATGAGAAGGAGGAAGGTCAGAGGGAGAAGCAGACTCCCTGCTGAGCAGGGAGCCCGATTCGGGACTCAATCCCGGGACTCCAGGATCATGACCTGAGCCAAAGGCAGTCGCTTAACCAACTGAGCCACCCAGGCGCCCTAGGCTTCTTTTGTCTTTGTTTTTTTTAAGTAAGCTCCATGCCCAGTGTGAGGCTTGAACTTGTGACCCCGAGATCAAGCGTTGCATGCTCCACCAACTGAGCCATCCAGGTGCCCCTACTCCTGTATTTTCCTCTAGGAGTGCTGTAATTTTAGCTCTTATGTGTAGGTCTTTATTGAGTCAGTTTATGTATGGTTTGAGGTAAGGATCCAAATTCATTATTTTGCATGTGGTTATCCAGTTGTCTCAACACCATTTGTTGAAAAGATCATTTTTTTCCCCATTGAATTTTCTTGGCATCCTTGTCAAAATTCAATTGACTATAGATGTGAGGGTTTATTTCTGGACTCTCAGTTCTATTCTGTTGATTTTTATGTCTGTCCTTATGTGTGTGCCATGTTGTCTGATTGTTGCTTTGTAGTAAGTTTTGAAACTGGGAAATAGGAATCTTCAATTTTACTCTTTTTCAAGATTCTGGGTCCCTTGAATTTCAATAGGAATTTTAGGATCAGCTTGTCAATTTATGCCGAGAAGCCAGATGGAATTTTGTTGGAGATTGCATTGAATCTGTAGGTCAATTTGTAGTCTGCCAAGGTGACCATAACAAATCCCAGAGACTGGTGGTGTGAACAACAGAAATTAATTTCCTATAGTTCTGGAGGATAGAAATTCAAGATCACAAGGTGTCAGCAGGGTTGTTTTCTTCTGGGGACCAGGAGGGAAGAATCTGTTCCAGACCTCTTTCTTAGCTTATGGATGACCATCTTCTTGTATCTTCACATGGTTTTCTCTCATACATGTTTGTGTCCTAATCTCTTTTTATAAGGACACTAGTCATCTTGGATTAGGGCCCCTTCATATGACCTTATTTACTTTAATTACCTCTTTAGAGGCCCTGCCTCCAAATACAGTCACATTCTGAGGTGCTGGGGATTAGAATTCAACATGTGAATTTTGGGAAGCCACAGTTCAGTCCATAACAGGGAACAGTGCCATTTTAACTAAACTGAATTAATTAAGACTTAATATTAAGTCTTCTGATCCATGAAATGGGATGTCTTTCCATTTACTTAGATCTTCTTTATTTTCTTCCAACAATATTTTGTAGTTTAGGGACTGCTTTTGAGGAAACTCAAATATAGATACTCTGAGTAGGAAAATAACTTCCTATATTTTCTTCAAATACTATTATCATTTATATTTTGAAGTGATCTTATTAAATGCAACATGTTTAGTGTTATATCTTCTTGGTGAATTGAATTTTTTTTTTTAAAATCATTATCTTCTTTACTTATAGTAATACTTTTTTTTCCCCCTTGAACTGATGTGGACTGATTAATACAGCTACATCAGTTTTCTTTTTTGTTAGTATTTGTCATGTGTATCTTTTTCTCTGTTTTTCCTTTTTTTTTTCTTTCTAATATTTTTAAGTATTTGGTATGTCTCCTAGAAATAACTGTAATAAATTAAAAAAAATCAAGCCTGGCATTTCATTTATGTTAATAGGCAAGTTTGATCCATCAATAATTATTTATTACTGATATATTCAGATGTTTCTATCATTTTATTGTGTGCTTTCTCTGTGCTGCTTTTGTACTTCTTTCTTGCCCTCTTTTGGACTGATAAAATTTTCTTTTTTGGCAAATGGGGCTTGATTGGCTTTTGCCTTTCAAAAATGGAGGGCTAGGGGAGGGGGACTACTAGAAAAAAATAGAAACTCTAAGATTTAAAAAAAAAAAAGTCCTCCTGTACATAACAAGACAGCATCCGCTCTCCAGGGCCTGAGACTGAGAGCAGGGGCCTCAGGCAGGCAGGCCAGAAAAAAAAAGTTAAAAAGTATAAAAACAAAAAACCCCCCTTTTTTTCTTATCTCTTTTCTTTATACAGAAATCAAACATTCTTTTTTTTTCGTGGTTACTCTTGAATTTTTAAAAAGGTAACTGTTGTTTTAATGGTTACTGTTAAAATATTAACAAAGTGAAGAGTTAATATATTTACTTTTCTCTCAGAAAATGACAAATACCTTAGAATACTTTAACTGTCATCAGCTTTTTCATCTTTCATATGTTTGTTGCTCTTTGTTTCTGTTTAATATCTACTTTGATTTTTTTTATCAGTGCTTCTTTCCTGTGTTTATATGGCTATATTTTTATCTAATTTATTGAGATAAATTATTGGTTCTTTTATTTTTCTTATATTCTAATAAGTCTATTTAGGACTGTACTTTTCCTCTGAAGAGTGTTTTCATTATTGTTTCATCATAACTAATTTTTTTTAATATTTATTTATTCAGACTCCCTGCTGAACGCAGAGCCCATCACAGGACTTGATCCCAGGACCCAGAGATCATGACCTGAGCTGAAACCAAGAGTCAGACGCTTAACCAACTGAGCCACCCAGACATCCCA